CTCTCCTCTACATGTCTCTCTCTTCTCTAGGTGCATAAACACTTAACCCACTTTTCACATCCCACCCTTATTTTACTCTACTTAATCTTTGAATTTATACATTTATATTCCTCTTTTCTTGCCATAACTGATCCTTCACCATTTTTGCTACTCTTTCCTTAGCTCTAACTCTATTAGAAAACCCCTGACATAATCCCATTTATTTCTCCCCATTGAGACTGTCCTACCCCCTTCAGCTTTGTTTCACGTGGAGCCAGGACATCCAACTTCTTTTCATTCATAACATCCACAATCATCTCTTTTTTGTCATCTGCACAACATCAACATACATTTAAAATCCCAGCTTAAAGATTTTCTTCTTCTAATTTTTGGTAAGCTGTATGGGAAAAGGGGTTACTAGCCTATACTCCCAGCATTGTAGTATTGTAGTTGACTTTTACAACATGCATGACTTATGGAGGAAAAATTCTTTTTCCACTTCCTCATGGATATGAAAGGAAAATAATAAGAATAAGAACTATTAAGAAAACTTAAGAAAACTCAGGTGAGTGTGTATACATAAATATGTACAAACATGTGTAGTGTGACCTGATTGTAAGTAAAAGTAGCAAGATATACCTGTTATCTTGTGTGTTTATGAGACAGAAAAAAAGACATCAGCACTTCTACCATCATGTAAAACAAATGCAGGTTTCTGTCTTACACTCACTTGGCAGGACAGTAGTACCTCCCTGGGTGGTTGCTGTCTACCAACCTACTACATACAATAAATAATAAGTTATAATTTCTCTTACTTTGTTTTGGGATAGGTCAAGTCAAGGAATTCCGGGACCTACCTCACAGACTGCCTCCAGCTCTTGAGCCTAAAACAGAAAGAATTACTTCAAAAACAGACAAAACGCGAATTAATGCTGCTGACAAAGAACGCATTAACTCCTTAGAAAAAGACAGAGCAACCAGTGCCGTTGTCGAAGATAATAATAAGGTAAGATTGACTGAGTTGTACACTGTTTGTTGAACATATTCTTGAAGCTGTCATACTATGCATACAACAACATTCACACTGATCTGTTTTTTGCAGTTTCTAAATTAGTCTTTTGTGAGGAACCCTAAAAAAGCTTTTTAACCCTTTGACTGTCGCGGCCATATATATACGTCTTACGAGGTACCGTGTTTGACGTATATATACTCATAAATTCTAGCGGCTTCAAATCAAGCAGGAGAAAGCTGGTAGGCCCACAAGTGAGAGAATGGGTCTGTGTGGTCAGTGTGCACCATATAAAAAAAATCCTGGAGCACGCAGTGCATAATGAGAAAAAAAAACTCCGACCATTTTTTTTTTTAATTAAAATGCCAGCTTTGTGGTCTATTTTCGTATAGTATTTATGATGTATTCTTGTTTTCTTGGTCTCATTTGATAGAATGGAAAACATGTTATAGAAATAGTGGTGATTTTGATTGATTTTACTATAAAAAGAACCTGGAAATGGAGCTCAAATTAGGGGAAATGTTTGATTTTTGCCAATGTTCAAAAGTAAACAAATGATGTCATTGTCCAATAAATGTCCAACTAGCCATTCTTATATGTGGTCATGAATGGGTTGATGTTATTTATGCAATTATTACAGTATTGCAGTAGTCTGCATAATAGTAAGTCTTCTATTTTTTGTTTGAATAAAAATTCAAAATAGAAAGCAAGAGTAATATCAGAGGGGCCTGGAGACATGACTGATGAACAAAGAAAATGTTATTTTAGAGCCAGGAATGTCTGCATTGTTCATTCTGGACCTTATTTTGAAATTGTCATATTTTTTAATTTTCGTAAAATTGGCCGAATTGCAAATTTCTGACCACATTATTGGGTAGTTGAAATCAGTAAACGGGCAGTTTCTTGTACTTAATCGATAGAAAAAATGGAGTTCTAAAGAAATAGCTATGAGTTTGGTTGACTGGAACAACGGAATTAGCCAAAAATAGGGCTCAAAGTGGGCAAAATCGCCAATTTGTAAATATCGCCAAGGTTGCTAACTTTGCAAGAGCATAATTCCGTCAGTTTTCCATCAAATTTCATTTTTTTTGGTGTCATTACAATCGGGAAAAGATTCTCTATCATTTCATAAGAATTTTTTTTTTTTTTTTTTTTTTTAAATTTTGCGACACCAGGTGACACCTCAGGATTGGGGGTTGCGATAGTCAAGGGGTTAAATTTCACATATATGCAATCTGCCTATGAGTTTTGTTCTTGAATGATTTCTGCAACTGTCATAGTAGCTAATCATGATATGCAAGAATTTGATGATTTAAGATTGTACTGTTTGCTAGGTGGTATTTCTTTACTTTCAAAGTGTTTTTTTTTTCCACTTTTCATTAATGAGTTTTCCTAGTAATTTCTCAGCAACATATGTCAGGAAGGTAGCCTTGTATTTATGGAAATCCTCTATTTTCTTTAGATATTGGTACAGTATGTATCATTTTCTGTTTATGGGCCAGTTTAGTCACTTTTGGTGCAATGCCAAAGATTTGCCCTTACAGATTTCCCCTTGCAGATGAACTAAATTAATATTAGAGAGTAATTTATTTCATCTGCATTTTCATTTAGGACCCATGATGCTATCTTACCTGGTCTTCTTTGCCCTCCTGTTAACATCCAGTAGTGGCTGATATTTCATTATGTATTTTGAATAGCATTTTTATTATTTTCAATTTTGAGACATTTTAGTGATGCTTGTAATAAGGATTCAAATAGGGAAATTTGGGTAGTAGTCCATTATCCTCACAGTAATTATACCTGTGCTAACTTTGGGCAGTTATACTGGTTCAAATTTAGTCTAGTGTGGAAGATGTCCTGATGATTCTAGTAGATAAACTACATATTAATTAAGATCCTTGGGAGTTTGGTATTATTGGATTGATAGATGTTGAGATGCCAAACGCAAGAAAACAATTTACAATTCGTCATATTTCAGGTATGAGTAAAAGTAGTTTGAATTTTTGCATAAAGAAATAATGTATGTGCAGAACTGATCTGGTAATGTAAACACATGCTGCAGGTTGAACTAAACAGCAGTAGAGAAGTTGGTGCATCAGTAGCAGGTACTGCACCACCTCACCTGCCTCCACCACAATTACCTCCTAAGCCTGGTAAGATCATCATCACTGTGAATGTCATAATTAGCTGTAAATGCTTTACTGTACTTTTATTTTGCAGTACATATATTTTTAAGAGAATCTTTCACTAGTGTTCTTTTTTGATGAAGCCACTTTTGTCTTATTGAGCACACAACTTAAAAGTTGTTCTTAACATTGAACTAAAATAATACAGTACCTGTCAGCATTTAGGTGACAGCTAAGAAACTCCTCCTCTCTTTCACATACCCTAACCTAAGCCTCACTATCCTCTTAAAACTCTTTCAGTAACTTACCAACTATTCCATACACTTGCAACGTCTGCCACAATGCTACCATATCCAACCTATCATATGCCTTCTCTAAATCTTTAACTGCAATGAAAACTTTCTTAGCCCTTATATGCTTTAATGTTAACACTTGGTATACATGTCTCCTACCCTTCCTAAAACCCTGTTCATCTGCAATCCTACTCTCCATCTTTCCCTTAATTCTTTCAGTAATAGCTCTGTCATGCATCTTACCTTGTATATTCAAGAAGCTTATTTCCCTATAATTTTTACACACACTTTTATCCCTTTCGCCTTTACACAGAGGAACTATGCATGCTCTCTCTCCCACTTCCTTGGTATCTTGCCCTCTTTCATACATTTATTGAATAAAAGCACCATCCACTCCAAAACTATATGTTCATCTGCTTTTACCATATCTGTCTTGTTCCCATCAATCCCAGCTACTTTACTCTCCTTTCACTTTAGCCACTGCAACCCCCCTCCCACACACACACAGACAGAGGCACAGTATATTGTTGATTAAGATGTGATCTTTTATGACGTTTTCCGATACACAGCAATTGCAAAATTTCTGCATGTTTTTTATTTTTTGACTCTGTGAAATTCATTTGTGACTGTGCAACTTAGGGAAAAATATTTGGAGCACTGTTGGGTTGTACTGCAGTAGCTTTTCTCACCGTCTCGTGGGCTTGCTGGCAGCCAGCTTCTGAATCAGGCTATTTCTTTGCGGGGACACCTAGTCTGTCATACCTCTCGCATCTCAGTGCTCTCTACATATGTGGCCTATACTATTCTGAACTCTTTGTTTGTTAATTTATTTTTGATCTTTTCATCATCATATATTGTGTCTGCATAGTAACCATGGCACTTAAGAGGAATGTGAGTGTTGCTGGAAGTGGCAAGAAAAAGTTTAAAGTGTTCAAGTCTTGGTATTATGAAGAAAAACTGAGATATTAGATAAGCTTAGAAATGGTTCATATATGGTGGAGGCAATGAGAGCTTATGGTTGTAACAGAGCATGAGTTCGTTCATTTAACCCTTTGACTGTTTTGGTCGTATATATACCTCTTACAAGTCACCGTGTTTGACGTATATATACTCATAAATTCTAGCAGCTTCAAATCAAGCAGGAGAAAGCTGGTAGGCCCACATGTGAGAGAATGGGTCTGTGTGGTCAGTGTGCACCACATAAAAAAAGTCCTGCAGCATGCAGTGCATAATGAGAAAAAAAAGACCGTTTTTTTTAAATTAAAATGCCGACTTTGTTGTCTATTTTCATATAGTATTTATGGTTGTATTCTCGTTTTCTTGGTCTCATTTGATAGAATGGAAAACATATTATAGAAATAGAGGTGATTTTGATTGGTTTTACTATGAAAAAAACCTTGAAATGGAGCTCAAAGTAGGGGAAATGTTTGATTTTTGCAGATGTTCAGAAGTAAACAAATGATGTCATTTTCCAATAAATGTCCAACTAGCCATTCTAATATGCAGTCATGAATGAGTTGACATTATTTATACAATTATTACAATATTGCAGTAGTCTGCATAACAGTAAATCTTCTATTCTTTGTTTGAATAAAAATTCAAAATAGAAAGGAAAAGTAATATCAGAGGGGCCTGGAGACATGACTGATGAACAAAGAAAATGTTATTTTAGAGCCAGGAATGTCTGCATTGTTCATTCTGGACCCCATTTTGAAATTGTCATATTTTTTAATTTTCGTGAAATTGGCTAAATTGCAGATTTCTGACCATGTTATTGGGTAGTTGAAATTGGTAAATGAGCAGTTTCTTGTACTCAGTTGATAGAAAAAAAATGGAGCTTCTAAAGAAATAGCTATGAGTTTGGTCGACTGGAACAATGGAATTAGCCGAAAATAGGGCTCAAAGTGGGTGAAAATTGCCAATTCGTAAATATCGCCGAGGTTGCTAACTTCGCGAGAGCATAATTCCGTCAGTTTTCCATCAAATTTCGTTCTTTTGGTGTCATTACAATTGGGAAAAGATTCTCTATCATTTCATAAGACAAAATAATTTTGTTTTTGGAAATTTTGCGACACCAGGAGACACCTCAGGATTTGGGATTACGACAGCCAAGGGGTTAAATAGAAAGAGGCAAATATATGGGCTTATGCAATGATCTCCCATAGAAAATTGGTTATACATTTTTTTTTTTTTTTTGACATGTAGGCAGTCTCCCAGTGAGGCAGGGTAACCCAAAAAAGTAAGAAACACTTTCACCATAATTCAACTCTTTCACCATCACTCACACAATCACTGTCTTCGTAAAAGTGCCCAGATATGACAGTTTAGGTGTCATTCCAACATTGTACACCTCCAGGACTCCAGTCTGGCTAACCAGTTTCCCTGAATCCCTTCTGAAAATACTGCCCTGCTCACACTCCAACAGTTTGACAGGTCACAAAAACCATTCGTCTCCATTCACTCCTATCTAACATGCTCACACATGCCTGCTGCATGTCCAGTCCCTTTGTACACAAAACCTCTTTTACCCTCCTTCCTTCATCCTTTCCAAGGATGACCCCTACCCCTCTTTCCCTCCACTACAAATTTCTGCACCCTCCAAGTCATTCTGTTTTGCTCCATTCTCTCTAAATGACCAGACCACCTCAATAACCCCTCTTCAGCCCTCTGAATAATACTTTTTGTAACTCTACACCTCCTGATTTCCACACTGGGAATAATATTTACACCACACATTTCCCATACACACGACATCTCCACTGCCTTCAGCCTCCTCGCTGCATCATTCACAACCCATGCTTCATACCCATGTAAGACTGTTGGTACCACTATACTATCATACATTCCCTTCTTTGCCTCCATGGATAACATTTTTTGTCTCTACAGATACCTCGATGCACCACTCACCATTTTTCCTTTATCATTTCTATGGTTAATCTCGTCCTTCATAAACCCATCTGCTGACAAATCTACTCCCAAATATATGAACACATTCACTTCTTCTGTACTCCTTCCCTTCAATGTGATATCAGTGGCATTGCTAGGGTTGGTGTCACCTGGGGTTGTATCTATGGTGTCACCCCCCATGAAATCCAGGGGTGGGGGGGTGGGGGGTGGGGGAAGTAAACTCCAATTACGTCACTTCTGCATGCCCAATGACTAATATTTAGCAGTGAGAATGTTTAAGGGCGATAAACCAAACAGGAGAATACTTCTCAACTTTTTTAATGATAAAATAAATAATTGTAGTAATATTGAGGAAACACTCAAATACCAGTTTGAGTACAGGCAACAGCAACAGATCCTATATTTAGTCATCTTCAACAGTGCAAAAAAAGCTTGAAAAATAAAGAAAAACATTGCAATATCAGAGAAACACTAGTTCCAATATGACCTTGAGTACAGGTAACATCTCAATGAATCAGATCTTACATTTCCTTGCCTTCAATCCTGCAAAATCATCTATCACATCATCAAAATCAATGCTGTCAGTTGACCCATTTTCTATGGATAACATTGCTAAGTCAGAGTTTCAGGATTGACTCATTGTGGACCGTAAATAGTTTTTAATCAGCTTCAACTTCGAGAAACTTCTTTCACAAGAAGCCGCAGAAACACATATAGTAAGGAACAACCTCAGGCAGAATGTGAGAGTTGGAAGAGATTCAATAAAATTCATTCAGCTATAAATGTTAGTGCATCCAATGCAGTCTAGTGCTTAACTTTTTCAAGATCATCATCAACAGCTTGCAGGTGCCTCCTTAGTCTTGGTATTTCAAGCATGAGCTTATTCTTGCATATTTCATTATAGAAGACTGTGAGTCTTGAAGCCACCCCTAATTCTTCTTCAATAGCTTGCACAAGATTCTTTGTTTGAATGACATCAAACATGGCTGCCACATCCTTGATTGCTATATAGAAACAAAGAATTTTTGTCTTATGATGCCGAAACACTGTTTTGGGCATTGGTATCACCTTCTTTAGAGGCTCTATGGTGTCACCCCTTGATGCTGTCACCTGGGGTGCCCCTTACCCCCTTATGACGCCACTGCGTGATATCCAATTTTTCTTTACCTAACTCGTTTGATACCCTCATCACCTTACTCTTATCTATGTTCAATTTCAACTTTCTTTACACATTTTTCTAAACTCATTCACTAACCTTTGCAAATTCTCTTTAGAATCTCCCAAAAGCACAGTACTTTCAGCAAAAAGGAACTGTATTACTCCCATTTTGTATTTGATTTCCTATAATTTAATCCCACCCCTCTCCCCAACACCCTAGCATTTACTTCTTTTACAACTTCATCTATAAATGCGTTAAACAACAATGGTGACATTACACATCCCTGTCTAAGCCCTGCTTTTACTGGAAAGTAATCTCCATTTCTCCTACACATCCTAACGTGAGCTTCACTATCCTCATAAAAACTCTGTAGCATGTAGTAAGTTACTACATATTCCATACACTCACAACATCTGCCACATTGTTCCCCTATCCACCCTGTAATATGCCTTTTTATAAATCCGTAACTGCAGTCAAAATTTCCCTACCTTTATACAGTGTCCCATCTTACGAGCTTTCCGAGTTACAAGCCGTCGCTCAGTCATTTTTTTGCTTTTAGTTGCGAGCCAAAATCTAAGTTACAAGTGGGCTTCAAATACGCTGTCACTGGTTGGCTGCATATCTGAAGTCAAATCCAACTCTGTACCCAGAGGAATGTCAGGTACTTC